TAATTTGAGAATACATAATTTGAGAATTCTTTTAATTATCCCTAGTGTAGTGTATAAATAGACTATTTTGTCCAGCGCTAACCTTTTCTTATTGTTTTTAGAAACTGTATATTTTTACAAAAATATTAAAAATAGTCTAAAAACTTATTTTAAATTTATGGCCAGACGAATTCTCTTCATCGGTGCATCGTGTGGACACAGTTTTTATAATTTTCTTATAAGAAAAAAGTTCATGTGTAATTAAGTGGTTGATGCATCAGTTAACTAAAATCAATTCATTTACGTTTATTTCCTGCACCTGCAATTTCCATCATTTTAACAAGATGCAATATTCAAATCCATTTAATGTTGCTATTAAAAATATATACCCCAAATGTGTACACCCCCCAGCAACGTACACAGGATTTCATTTCGGGGGGGCCCGGTAGTACAAAATGAAAAAATTCGCTGTTGCAAACATAAATTTACTGTAAAAAAAATCATTTGGGGGGGGGGGGCCGGGCCCCCAGGGCCGCCCCCCTGCGTACGTCCCAATAATACTGACACCCCCAATAATACTGCATTCCATTTTCCCAACAAAAATCCAACAAGGTATACGATTTGGCCCCCAGCCAAATTTGTTCAATTAGCTGGACATATTTTAGCTAATAAATTGATTTAATGGCATGCACAATAAATATGCTAAAGCAAAACATAAGAGAAAATCATAAATAAAACACATATTGTTTTTGTTTAATTTTTTTAAAACATTTGTTATATATATATTTCTTTTTTTATCAAAATAAAAACATAATAGAAAGATAATTAAATTAGAAAAACATAAGAAAAATAAATTAAGATAAAGAAAAGGGTTTTATTTTTTCTATGAAAAATAATTTATAATTAAGGGAGGGGTAAACACTTTGAGTTGATCTTAAAGATAAGGAGGGAAGAAAAAGATTTTTTATATATAAAAATGAAAATAATTATTAAAAAAAAAAACAATAAAAAAATATTTAACAAAAAATATATAGTATATGTAGAGGGGAAGAGCCGCAAATATAATACAAAAAATGATTTTATCATATTTTATGTATATAAAAAAAGAAAATTTTAATAAAATAAAAAAAATAAAACATGGAAGTATGCCGTTTCGTTTCTTTCGAATAAAGAAAAATTCGTTTCGTTTTCAGATTTTTTTAACATTAAAAAATAATTAATTTACAATAATTTTGTGGCACAGTTTATAATTTTTGAGCTTTTTTTTTTTTTGAAAAGCAAAGAAGAAATATATAGTTTTTTTGTTTTGTTCAATGATATGCTATAACAATTGTTTTTTAATTTTTATGTTATAATAATTATTTTTTTATCTTAGCAAACTAATTTTTTTAAGAGGGAGGATTTTGTTAATATTTTTGTTTTTCTTAAAATTATTTTAATTTAGGGTTTGTTTGTTTTGCTTAAAAATTTTACATAGAAAAAAAGTAAACTTATTAACTACTTTGGGCTAATGGCAAAAATAATTATTATTCTTTTTTGTGTTTTTTTTTGTATTAATATAATATATTTTGTTTTTATATTTTTAATTAAAAAATTAAGCAATAGTTTTTTTGTGTTAATATTTATATCAAAAAATTAAATAAAGTAAAAAATAAAAATTATAATTTTATAAACATTTAAGAATAATTGGCTAAAATTACATTGTGTGTGGGTAGTTTTGTGTGTTGTATGTAGGTTTGTTTGCATGTGTGTGTGAATTATTTTTTATATAATATTTATTTTTATAGAGGAAAATTAGTTTAAAAAATATTATTTATAATTTGTGTTTGTGTGTGTTTGTGAGGATTTTATTAACAAAATAAAAAATAATATTAAGGAAGAATTGTATTAATAATTTATTACACATGAGATCACAGTATTAGAGATATAAGTATGTTTTTGTTTTTTATGTATATATGTATAATATTTATAATTATAATAAATTAGTTTTTTAAGTTATAGGTTTGTGTGTGTGTGTTTTTTTAATAAATTAAGCCTTGTTTTTTTTTTTTTTGTTAATAAGATTTTTGTTAGCATCGTGTGTATTGTTTTAAACAATATATATTTGTTTATATATTTATTTTTTATGTAACTAAAATGTCTTAAATTTTGTTCGTGTTTGTTTCGGTAATTCCATTCAGCAAATTTTTTTTAAATATTTTTTTTCTTCAATTTTTTTTTCCTTTGAAATTCTTTCTCCTTTTACAACCATTTTTCTTAAGAGTTGTAATGATTTTAAAATAATTTTTTTTTTAATTTTTTGTATATTTATTTTTGTTTCTATATAACATCATCATTAAAATCCCATAGTTTTTGTGGTTGTTTGGTTTTTTTAGCTACTCAAAAATTTGTATTGATTTTTAGTTATTTAATTTTTGTTTTTTTTATTTTTAAGAAAAATATTGGCACAAAAATACAGCTCTGTGTTTTGGCTATAAACTATTACGGAAAGAGTCAGGGAGAAAGAGAGAGAGAGAGTGTGGGAGAAAAATAGAATCTAAGTGAGAACTAGATTTTTTTGAAATATTTTCCATCATTTTTTTAGAAAACTTGAAAATATTTAAATGAGAAAAACAAATAATTTTAATTATTTTTACAAATATTATTTCGAAAGTGGGAAAGGTATGATATTGTTTGTAAATGCCTTGTTAACCTCGAAATAAGGCACCAGCGAAATTCTCATGCAGTTTATGTCGTTGGCCAGCTAAGTACTTCGCTTTGTTACAAGAGGCATTTGGGTATGAAAGGTTTTTTTGTATAGAAGCAATAGCTTCAACAAACTGGGATTCAGCCTGACTATTTTTCAAAAAACAAAATACAAATGGTATCACAAATAAACCGCCAACACTACTGGTTTCGAAAAATATTTTCTGATAAGAGCCTTACTTCAGAGAAGGGCAATCAAAAATTTCGTGACACTTTGTCATAATATTTTCATAATTTTTTGACATTTATTTTTTGGTCATAATTTAAAAGCTTTTTTTAAACCTGCTTAGCAATATTTAATTCTAAGGCATTCAACCAGAGAAAATATTGAATTTTTTTCTTGGCAAATTTGTGCACTTAAAATTTTAAATTTTACATATTTTTTTGGTGGAAATACATTTTGCAATCTCAGTTGTTGTTGTTGCTGCTGTTTTTTGTGTGTTTGCGAATCGCTCAATCATTAAAATGTCGACTATTATTAAAAATACATTTTTATTGCCTCCCCATCCATACCAAATTGTTGGTTTTTTTTGTTGCACTGGGCTAAAAACATTTTCAGTGTCAAATATTTAAAAACTTGTTTAATTTTTGTGGTGTGAATAATCACACACAAACGCTAAAAAAACCAACAACAACATTAATTTTGAAATATCCCAACAACACCAACTGAAAACCATATTTCTATGGCGTCTATATACAGTTTTGAAGCAAGTTAATGATTTAATGTGTTGCTTTATTTGTTTTTTTTTCTGCCCCATCATATCCCCTCACACCTTGGGTGGATGGAAAAAAATAATGGTTAATTTAGTAGCCGTTTATATGGCCAATTTCCGTTAAAAAATATCGCCAACAACAATAATGACAGAAAATAAAAAAATGGGAGGAGCCTAGTTTTGCAAAGCCATAAAAACTCAACCAATAAATAAACTATGCCAAAATAACAGGTGTTTCTGAAATAGACACAAATGAAAACCTGTTGCATACTTTTAGGGGCAATTTTGTAGGTACTCTTGGGGGAAAGGCGACGTGGCGAATGGGAAAAGAAAACGGAACTTGAAGATACTCTAAATTAAAAATGTTCCCTTAATTAAGGCTTTCCTGTAAGGTACGCCTTTTATTTAGGTTGCAATCAGCTGTTTATGGGTATCATCAACAGCTGCTAAAGCAGCAATCAGCTGTTTAGTGCCAAATTGAAAGTGCAGATAAAAATTAAAGAAGGAAGAACTTTTTTAAAGATCAGAGATCTGGATATTTATTAAGTTTTCTAAAAAAAATACACTTTATAGCCTCTCTCTCTCCCCCGTTTCTCCTTAACTCTTTATATCGGATGGAAATTATGTATTTCAATCTATTTTTTACGCATTTGATTTCAGCTGACTAAATTTTGGTTTTTGTAATATTTTTCTTAATTTTCTGTATGTCTGTTTTAGTTTTCTTTTTTCAAATTTCTATTTCATTTTGACAAGATAAAATTTTTGAGACCTACCAAAAAATTTCGTTAGTTATTGTCTTTTTACTACGTTTTGTTTATTTGTTTTAGCTTCTTTAAACTTGTGTTTCTTTTTTTACTTCAGCAGAATGAGTTAGGGGAGCTTTAATTGTATCATTTTGGAATATTTTTTATATATAATTTGTTTTTAAGGGAAACAAAATTAAATTATGTTTTGCTAACTAAATTTGTTAAACTAATTCCCGCAAAAAACTACTACTCGGTAAGGAACAATATAACCATATCGTGATTATTTTCACCACTCAATATGGCAATGTGTTTACTATTTGTATTATTGTGACTGGTTTCCAGCGTTTTCTTAACATTTACCAATGTTTCACCGCGTGAGGGCGCTGTCGATTCTTCACTGCAATTGGGCTCGGCCCCATAACTGCTTGCCAACGAATTGGAATTGTCTTCCATTAAATCCAAAGCCATTTCCAATTCAGAATCTTCAATGATTTCGCCATCAGCGTCCGTTTCAACATCCATTAAATTTTCACCCTCATCCTCCTCCTCCTCCATTGCCTTCAAATGTTCCAGCTCAAATTCAAATTGTTGCTGTTGACTGCGTTTCAGGGACAATTCCGATGTGGGCATGGTATCAAGTGGAGTGTTGGGCGATAACGGCGAACGCCATATGGTTGTGGGGAAATCATCGGGTTTTAAAAGCGGTGGTAAGCGTTTGGCCTCATTCACAGCTCGATAGGTTTTTAAAGAAGATGATGCCGACACCGTCGTCGCCGTTGTCGTTGGTAATGTGGGTGGTGGTGGTAATAGGGGCGGCGACGGCAGCATCGTAGCCTGAGTTTTCTTCTCCACCTACAAACTGGTAGCACTGGATGGTACTATGGAAATATCGGAGGAATGAAGCATATGGGAGTGATGTGAATGATGATGCTGGCCGGCACTGGATTGGGCCATCTGCATTTGCTGTTGTTGTTGCTGGGCCTGTTGTTGTTGCGCCTGCTGTTGTTGTTGTTGTTGCTGACTCAGTTTTTCCTTTTTCACCCTCTGCTTAAGATGAACTTTGGCATGCCGTTTCTTTTCATCGGAACGGGCAAATTTCCTACCACAAATGTCACAGGAGAATGGCTTCTCTCCCGTATGGGTACGAATGTGGGTGGTCAGGTGATCCGAACGACTAAACGAACGCATGCAAATGCGACATTGGAATGGTTTTTGACCAGTATGAATGCGTATGTGGCGGGTAAGTTCATCGGAGCGGGAGAATCTGCGATCACAATTCTCCACGGGACAGGCATAGGGTCTCTCATGCACCGGTGTCTTACTGGGCCGGTTGGGATATTTACGTGGCTTGACGGGGACTAGTTTCAATGGCATGGCACTCTGTTGATAGACCTGTGAGAGTATTTCGTGACCTTTGCTGGTGGACGGGCTATATTCGGCCAGCTGTACCACGGAGAATGTGGTCTGAGATCCTGCACCACCGGTGGATGAGCTTGATGTTTGCATGTGATGGGTGGGTGTGTGTGTGGGTTCAGCATAAGCTTCCTGTTTGGGTATAATACCACCGCCCAGAGCGGTACTCGAAGAGGCGGATGAGGGACCGGGCAGAACGAGTGTTGCCGTTTGTTGGCTACCCGTTGAGTATTCGGCCGGCGAATCAAGCCATTGATATTTGGGTGTGGACACACCCATTTGCTGGCGATACTGCTGTAAGTCATGGGCATTCTGGGCCTGTTGCTGCATATCAGCCAAGCTGGTGAAGGTGCCGGCACTACCATAACTGGGCGGAGCGGATTGTTTGAGCAGTATGGGAGAGCAGTCCATTTGCAAGCCCAAAAGCTCTACATGACGGCCGTCATCATAGGCGGCGGCAGCAGCAGCTGCTGCAGCGGCATGCATATGATGTTGGGCAGAGGGCGAGGGAGTTGAGGCGGGAATGGTTGACTGTTGCTGATGGCTGGCATAGTGAGCCTGGCTGGCATTTTGTGGTCCAGGACCAAGTAAACTAAACATGGGCGGTTGGAATAGAGCCTTATCGGGACTGGGTAGATTCCAGCTGTTGCCCAAACCGGCAGAGGGTGGTGACATGGGTCCGGGCAAAACAGCCAGGGATGGTGAGTGCATCTGGGATTGTTGTTGTTGGCTATGTGATTGTTGATGTTGTTGTTGCGTTTGATGATGGACATTGGCACCAGCAGCGGCTGCGGCGGCGGCTGCTGCCGATGCGGCATTTAGGCCACTCATGGCGGCGGCGGCGGCGTTATTACCTGTGGTAGTAAAAATGCCACGATATGATATTTTACCACTACTACTACTATTAGAGGGGCTATTATTAATTGCATGCTGGTCTTGTTGTTGTTGTTGCTGCTGTTGATAGTGATGATGTTGCTGTTGGTGATGATGATGGGAGTGTTGTAAATGTTGTTGTTGTTGCTGTTGATAGTGTTGGTGTTGTTGCACATGCAATTGGTGTTGCTGTTGCAGGTGTTGTTGGTGTAATTGATTGTGATACAATTGGTTTTGTTGTTGTTGTTGCTGATAGTGTTGATGATGTTGTGGCGATTGTTGGCCCACATGCATGTGTTGTGTATTGTGTTGTTGTTGTTGCTGATGATGATGTTGCTGTTGATGATGCAGCTGTGTTGTTGTATTGCTTTGTGTTGTATGTGTTTGGCTTGAGGTGGCCGGTGTTTGACTTAGGTGTTGTTGTTGTTGCTGATGATGATGATGGTGTTGTGTGGTTGTTGTATTGTTGTGTATGCTTGCGGCACTTGTGGTGGTGGTAGTGGTAATGGGATACATTGTACAACTATTATTACTTGTTTCTTCCTTAACAATTGTTAATGTGGGCGGGGTACTGCGCTCCTCCTTCAGGGGGCTACACAACACCGGACTGGTGGCCACTGTATGTGGCTCCAATGATAAATCTTCAGATTCAATTGAACCTGTAAATAAGAGAAATGAAAAAAATAATTATAAGAAAATTAAAAAAATAAATAATGTGTTGTGTGAAAAAAAATGTAAAAATAAATTAAAAAAAAATGTTTTTAAATATTTTCTGAAATTTAAAAAGGCCTAGATTTTTTTAAAAATTATTTTCTAAGGCGGAACTAATTTTTTGAATTTTTTTCAAAGTCGTAGATTTTTATAAAATTATTTCTTGAATTTTTTCTAAAGCGTATACTTTTTAAAAATCATTTTTTTTAATTTTTTCTAAGTGTAGATTTAAAAAATTATTTTTTTTTTTGATTTTTTTCTAAACATTTTTTGATTTTTTTCTAAGACGGATTTTTTTTTATTTTTTTCAAGGCATAGATTTTTAAAAGTTACATTTTGATTTTCTTTTAAGGCGTAGATTTTTAAAATTCCATTTCAATTCCTTCCAAATTCAAAACAAGTGTTTTATATTTGTTGACAAAAAATTCCTTGAAATTTTTTCTCGTTGGAGGAATACATTTTGTGTTAAAATGACACTTTGTTGAGCGGTAAAAAGATCAAATAAGAAAGAAGAAGAAGAAAAAACGGAATGGAGATCATTTTGTATGACACTCATATAGAATTCCAGGGAAATTACCTCACGGGAGGTCCAACTGCAACGTAAAGTTGCGCTTCATTTTTTCTCCGTTTCTTTGTTGCTATTTTATGCCTTGGCACTTTGCCTTTGATTTGAGTTTTCGATCAATTACATTCTCAGGAAAACAAGACAATAATCATCAGAATTGGAATCAAGAAAACAAAAAAAAAAAAACTTCAAGTTCGGTTTTATATGGAACAGAAGCTGTAGAACTGGTGTCAACTCAATCAAAGCGGACAGACAGCCAAGCAGACATTCGGACTTAGAGAAGGCCCAGCCAGAAAGTTTATATCAGCCAACCAACCAGCCAAGTGTTAGTTGAGACATCCCAGCTGAGAGTGGCAAAAACACAAAATCACAACTTGATTTTTCCATGATGGCAAATGGAAGCCGAATCACACACCGCCTCAAAGCTTACAATCAAAGCAATTGTTGCAATGGTGTAGCATTAATAGTTGCAATTGGTGTTGTTGTTGTTGCTGTTATTTATTGTTTAAGTTTTTGTTGTTGTTTTTGTTTTCAGTGGCGCTGTAGTTAATGATGATGCAAAGGCACAAAAAACAACAACACCACAATGAACCCCGCACACCGCTCCTCCTTTTTATCGTCCATTATTTTCATAATGGATACTGGAGTATTGTTTTATCGTTTCAGTCACTTCTTAATGTGAGGTGACATCAATCTCTTGAAGCGTTTTTTGTTTTGTTGTTTTGATTTTTCGTTCTGCTTCTACAATCCATTGCACTGCAATTTCATTCATTGTTTATATGTGGCCATTTAATATCGGGGTTTTCTCAACTCAATGACGGATATTCGATGTTGGGGCTATAGTTTTTTTGTTGTTTTTATTTAGCTGGACCTGTCTGTCCGAACAATCAGACTAATAATAATGACTTTATTTATATGCATGTAAATATATAACTGAGTGATTACAAGTTTATTGACATACTGTACTCAATGTCAATGTTAATGCCTGGGAGAATCGGAGAGATAAATAAATCTGGTGCAGTTTTTTTCTTTGTATTTATTTCTTTTCTGTTTTTGTTATTATTGTGTATCCCCTTAAGGGGATAAAAATATTATATAATATTGCATATCGAAACGAGTGTGATAGATTATGGGAATATTTTGAGATGTGTGTCTTTTTTAATTTCTATTAGAAATAGAAAAAAATTCCCATGAAAGGGTAAATTTTGCTACTTAAGGTGAAATAAGGTAACAAGGCGTAGATATTTTAAAAACATATTTTTGTAATATTAACAAGGCGCAGATTTTTTAAAAAAAATATATTTTTTAAAATATTAACGAGGCGTAGATTAAAAAAAACATTTTTTGAAATATTAAAAAAGCGTAGATTTTTTTAAAAAATATTTTTTGAAATATTAATGAGGCCCAGATTAAAAAAAACATATTTTTGTAATATTAACAAGGCGCAGATTTTTTAAAAAATATTTTTTGAAATATTAACCAGGCGAAGATTTTTTAATAAAATTTCTTCTGAAATTTTAATAATTTATAATTAAAATTTTTTTTTTGAATTTTTAACAAGGCGTAGATTTAAAAAACAAATTTTTGAAATTTTAACAAGGCGTAGATTTTTTAAACATTGTTTTTTGAAATCTTTACAAGGCGTAGATTTTTTAATTTTTTTTAATTTTTCTGTAGATTTTTTTAAAAAATATTTTTTTAAAATTTTACACCCCGAAATTTTGCATTTTTTGAAATATTAGGAATTTGAAATATTAAAAAGCAAGCCTGTTTTGATAAAGATTTTTTGAATATTTAGCGGATCAAAAAAAAACTGATTTTTGTGTGGAAAATTTTTTTTAAAAATATTTTTTGAAATATTAACAAGGCATATATATTTTTCCTGAAGGACATATAACAAGCGTAAATTGTTTATATTTTTTTGAAATATTAACAAGGGAGTTTTTAAAAAAAAAATTCAAAATTTTAATACCAATTATATTTTTTTTTTTTTGAATTTTTAACAAGGGAGTTATTTTAATTAGGTAAAGGTGACTTTTTTAAAATTTATTTTTTTAAATTTTAAAAGGCGCTATCGCTTTTAAACTTTTTTTTTTGAAATTTTAAGATTTTTTAAAAAATTGTTTTTTATAATTTTCGGTGAATTTTTAAATTTTTTGATATTAAAAATTTGAAATATTAAAAAACTTTAATTTTTTTAGATTTTTTTGAGTCATTGTAGATGCAATTATTATAGCAAAACATTTTTTGACATATTTTACAAGGTGATTTTTTAAAAAAAAATTTCTTCTGAAATTTTAATAATTTATAATTTTATAATTAAATTTTTTTTTGAATTTTAAACAAGGCTTAGATTTCAAAAAAAAAAAAATTTTTGAAATTTTAAAAAAATTTTTTAAAATTTTAACAAAAATTTTTTAATTTTTTTTTTTGAAATTTTAAGTAGATTTTTTAAAAAATAGTTTTTTGAAATTTTAACAGGGAGTAGATTTTTTAAAAATTTTTTAAATGCTTGGATCTTTGTGTTTCCTTTGTATTATTTTATGATCCGCCTAAAACAACAAAAACTTAACAAATCTCCATAATACCAAAATCTGAACTGAAGTTGTCATTGTTTTCAATTTTTTTTATTTTTTTTATAAATCTCTTATAATAAAAAAAACATGCAAATCGTGTTGTGTGTATTCATGTATTGCGTTCAGTATTTTGTCTCTTTTTTTCTTGACATTGATAAATCAGCTTTTAATCGTAAAATTTGGCAAGCGAAGCTCATTTATTAGAAATGACATAAAAATCACCATAAATACCCTTTAAGATAATAAGGAGAAGAATAAGAAGAAAACGGAACGGTCAAAACGACGGCGTTTCGGAAACAAAGGCCAATTTAAATAAACGCAATTATTTGGCAGCAGCTACTTAGTAACATTTCTGTGTGACCCTCCCGGTTAGGATAATAAAATAATTCGCCAAGAAAAAATATAAATCTCCAATGGGTGGGAGGGAGGGTGGTCCATAATAATCAGCCAATAAAGAATAACAGTCAATGGTCATATTTCAATAAAATGTCAAAATAAAAATGTATATAAATTTTGGCCAAACAACTATTTAAAAAGTTTTTTTTTTCTCTTTTTGCATTTCTGGAAATATGCCATCCATGCATGGCGGCATCCAACCCCATCCCAGGGGACTTGCATATTTTGACTTGTGTGTGATATATTTTTATGGCTCTTGTTTCGTTTGAAGAACATTTATGGTTTTTATTTAAATCATTTGTAAAGTAAAATTTGTAATTGCTTGTTGTTACTCCCAAGCGGAATTATTTTGGGGTGGAGGGGGTTTGGCTAGCTGATTATTTGGCCATAACATATTTAAGGGGTTATGGGATATTAAAAAGTTTTGTTTTTCTAAGAGTAATTAAATGGCATGTGATTTATAGATAAACTTATAATGAGTCTATGAATCAGGGTGGGGGGTTCTAGAAGGCAACTAGGAAGCAATAATGATTTTTTTATAAAGAAAAAAAACATATTATAAAGATAATGGAAATATGATTTCATTAAAAAATTATCTACAACTCCTAACTTCAATAGAGTGCTACTTCAAATATTTATTAAATTATCTGATCCAATTTAAAAATAATTTCAAATATTTTATAAAATCTCTGACTTCATTTATAATGAATTTTAAATATATAATAATTTTAATTATAAATAAATTATATTTAAAAATTAAATAAAATTTGAAATTTCCTTTAAAAATGCATTTAACATAATTTATCACAATTCAGCCAAAAACTCAAAACAATTTTTATAAATTTAAAAAAAAAGAACAACAAAGCGCAGCTACATAATAACATGATCTCGTGTTCATATCTTCATTAATTCAATTAGAAAAAATTACTATAATGCACATAATCTGCCAGACCTCAGACTCATACACACCCCATACAGCTCTTCGCCAACAACAAAATCTTTCAACTACTAAATAATATTTAATTATCAAGATTTATACATATACGTGCATAGTATATTTCGTAGATGTTATTGCTCTAATAAAAAAGAGCAACATGCCATCTGAACGATAATTTGTTGAAAATTGTAATTGAGCGACTGCGAGCAGCTAGACGGTCAAGCAGGCAGGCAGTCAGCTAGCTTGGTAACCAGCAAGGCAGTCACTTGGACCCCCAAGTTCCCAGTTCAGATTACTTATTTAATTTTCAGTTTTATGCGTTTCGTGTTTTTTTCTCTTCTTAGAGAAAATGAAAAAAACCCGAAACTACAAAAACATTGACACTGAACGGAAATGTTTAATAAATGATTAATTAATTCTAAAGTTTGCATGTTTTTGTTTATTTGTTTTTTCTTTGCTTCTTCTTAATTTCATTTTAGTTAATTACTACGTTTTTGCTATGGATTATTTAAGAAAATTATTTTGAAGAACAAAAAAGAAAAAAAAAAAATCAAAATCAAATTAATTTTGAATTAAGGTAATGCAGTTTTACGAAGTCAGATCAATAATTGCAGTGTGAAAATATTTTTTGAATAAAAAAACAAAGCAGCGATTTTTTAAATATTTTTTTTTTAATTTCCATAAGACGTAGATTTTTTAAAAATTATTTTTTTTTATTAAAAAGTGAGTTTTTAAAATACCAATAAAGGGTAGAATTTTTAAAAAATATTTTTTTAAATATACATAGACAGTATATTTCGTAGATGTTATTGCTCTAATAAAAAAGAGCAACATGCCATCTGAACGATAATTTGTTGAAAATTGTAATTGAGCGACTGCGAGCAACTAGACGATGAAGCAGGCAGGCAGTCAGCTAGCTAGCCAGCAAGGCATTCACTTGGACCCCCAAGTTCCCAGTTCAGATTTCTTATTTAATTTTCAGTTTTATGCGTTTCGTGTTTTTTTTTCTCTTCTTAGAGAAAATGAAAAAAAAACCGAAACTACAAAAACATTGACACTGAACGGAAATGTTTAATAAATGATTAATTAATTCTAAAGTTTGCATGTTTTTATTTATTTGTTTTTTTCTTCTTAATTTCATTTTAGTTAATTACTACGTTTTTGCTATGGATTATTTAAGAAAATTATTTTGAAGAACAAAAAAGAAAAAAAAAAATCAAAATCAAATTAATTTTGAATTAAGGTAATGCAGTTTTACGAAGTCAGATCAATAATTGCAGTGTGAAAATATTTTTTGAATAAAAAAACAAAGCAGCGATTTTTTAAATATTTTTTTTTAATTTCCATAAGACGTAGATTTTTTAAAAATTATTTTTTGAAATTTATTTTAGGTCCAACTCTTTTAAAAATGAGTTTTTAAAATACCAATAAAGGGTAGAATTTTTAAAAAATATTTTTTTCAATGCCAACAAGGCGTAGATTTTTTAAAAACTATTTTTTGAAATACCAACAAGGCGTAGATTTTATAAAAACTATTTTTTGAAATAGCAACAAGGCGTAGATTTTTTAAAAACTATTTTTTGAAATAGCAACAAGGCGTAGATTTTTTAAAAACTATTTTTTGAAATACCAACAAGGCGTAGATTTTTTAAAAACTATTTTTTGAAATACCAACAAGACGTAGATTTTTTAAAAACTATTTTTTGAAATACCAACAAGGCGTAGATTTTTTAAAAACTATTTTTTGAAATACCAACAAGGCGTAGATTTTTTAAAAACTATTTTTTGAAATACCAACAAGGCGTAGATTTTTTAAAAACTATTTTTTGAAATACCAACAAGGCGTAGATTTTTTAAAAACTATTTTTTGAAATACCAACAAGGCGTAGATTTTTTAAAAACTATTTTTTGAAATACCAACAAGGCGTAGATTTTTTAAAAACTATTTTTTGAAATACCAACAAGGCGTAGATTTTTTAAAAACTATTTTTTAAATTTCCCATAAAGCGAGGATTTAAATTTTTTTGTTTTTTAATTTTTTGTAAATTAGATAGATTTTATAAACAAAATTTTTTTGAAATTTATATTAGGCAGATTTTTAAAAAAAAAATATTTTTTGAAGAATCTTTAAAAAATATGTTTTTGATTTTCCGTAGATTTTTTAAAAAATATTTTTTGAATTTCACTCGATTTTTTTACAAATTATTATTTTATTTTAAAAGTTATATTTATAGTTTTTATTTAAATTATATTTTTCTTCCTTACCTGTTATTGGTGGTGGTTCCACAACAGTTGAGGGTCCAAAAAATGATGGTATATCACTCGATGTGGTTACTGGGGTATTTAAATCACCCGATTGGGCTTCCAAATGGTTGTGTTTAATATCAACACTATCGGCCACCGAGGCAACACTGGCACACGCCACTGGACTATGTTGTGTGGTATTCAATAGACTTAGATGTGATGCCGAATTACGACCACTGTTCGTATTTGTCGATATGGTAACAGCAGCACTGGCAATTGAGGGACTATTATGTTGTGAATGATGATGCTGATGTTGCTGGTGGTGGTGGTGTTGCTGATGATGATGTTGCAGAGGTGAGCCCTGTTGTTGTTGGGTTTCAGGTGCCACCGATATGCTGGCCAAACGTTGAGAATTTTGAGAATGACGCGATGAGTTGTTGTTGGATGCTGTAGTACCGGCAATACTTGTGGTACCGGCGGTAGCTGATATTGAGGCGGCTCCGGCTGCTGCTGCTGCTGAGGTGTCAGCTAACGAGGTGGGTGACAATGACGATGATGTTGATGTGGAGAGATTATAATGCAGCAGGGTTTGGGTACCCAATGGACCGCCGCCAAAACTTGTGGGTGTGGTGAGATATGTGGCGCCCGACGTTGAGGGGCTCGACTGGGCGGAGGTTTTAAAGAGGCATGTGTCAAAACTTAAAACATTGAAGTGCGCCGCAGCAGCTGATTCGGTGAGTAGGAATGTGTGATGCGATGGCGCCACTAGGGTTTCAAGCCCTTCCATGATCATGGCCGCTGATGGGGTTCCAGGGGCTACGCCACCTAAAAGAAAGAAAAGAGAAACAATTTGTTTATAAAAAATTGATGTCCAATGTGTTAACAAATTTATTAAATAGTTTTTTTTTTCTACGAAATTTCATATGAATGGACTTCAAGTACTTGTTAATATGAAGAGTATGCTGTAGTGAAAAAAATATCTAATAATTTGGCCAATTTCATTTTGTTATTTTGAACTAATTTCAATTAATTTTCCATTTCATTTAAAGCCAATGGCCAAATGTTTGTTTTGGTATAAAATTTGCCTAAATTTTGCCGACGGCAGCCGTTATGCTCTTCTACGTACCAAATTCCGCAGACATGAAATTTCACTTTTAACACTTGAGTGAATGAAGGGTTCTCAATGTGTGCCATCAGAAAAAAGCAGCAGCAACAACAACAAAATATTCAAATGTAAAAAAAATAATGGACACGTTTTTCGGTGATCATTAATGGCACAACGTCAGACTACTTTGAATCCCCCCTTCTGGCCATCGTAAAAAACAACAACAACACAAGATTGACAATAAAAGAAACTGCAATTAAACGGTAGTGATTTTTAGCGCATATAAACTTTCATTATGGCCACTTTAAATCCAAATAATAATAACAATAAAAAAGTGTAAGTCAATATAAAGAGGAAAAATCCAAAATGATGAAAGAAAATCGTGTAGTATGGGTCCGACAGGGTCCAATAGAAAGAAAAGAGAAAAACAGCACGGCGACGGTAAATACCCAATGTTCGAACACTTCTTTTGTGTGTCAAACTTTAAAAGATTTGAGATATTTTTTTTTGTTTAAAAAAAAAGAAAAGAAAAAAATCTCAAAATACAGTAAAACATCACTTCAATGACCGACCATTAGTTGTATGGCATACATGTATTTCACACCTAAAACTGATTTCGATATTTTGGAAGTATATGGAAACCTAGTTTTAATTGGCCAAACTATATATATGTCATGTATGTATGCATGTCAGCCTATAGAAGGTATATTTTTTATTACAACCCTTGCCTTGAAAATTCTGTGTGTCATTTTACCCAGGTCCCACTGTAGCATTAGGCCAATACCTTTAAGAGACATCAATGACGCCACATTCAAACACACACACAACTGAGACAAAGTTGTTTTTCATCAATAAAAAAATAATTTCAAGTGTTGTTGTTGATATTTTTGATTTGTTTCAGACCACAACCATCAACACTTCCACAACTCGCTGGACCAACAAAAAATAATAATTCAAATCTAAAACAACAACAACAAATCATAAATGTTTATAATGTTAAAGATCATTATGATACAGTATGAGATCATTACAAATAGTGGTTATGAATGAATGCCAAGTCTAGGTGATTATTACGATCACAGCATCCGAAGCATAACCTCCGAAGAACTTAATGATAATTTTTTATACATGTTTTATAAACATTATAATATTTAGAACATATTAAAACGAAAACTTATGAATGAATATTTGTCACTAAAACCAGATTTAGGCGAACGAAATCAGATACGAGATTCGAAGTAGAATTTTAAAAACATTAAATTCCGAATTTTTAATAGAGCATAGATTTAAATTAATTTGTTTGCATCGCTAAGAGAGAGGAGATCATTTAAAGATTATATTTTTTTTTAATTTTATAGAGGAGTAGATTAAAAAAAATTGAATTTTTCTTATGGCTTAGATTTTTTAAAAAATATTTTTTGAATTTTCTTAAGGCGTAGATTTTTTAAAAATTATTTTTTGATATACCAAGAAGGCGTAGATTTTTTAAAAATAATTTTTTGATATACCAAGAAGGCGTAGATTTTTTTAAAAATAATTTTTTGATATACCAAAAGGCGTAGATTTTTTAAAAAATACTTTTTGATATACCAAGAAGGCGTAGATTTTTTTAAAAATAATTTTTTGATATACCAAGAAGGCGTAGATTTTTTAAAAATAATTTTTTGATATACCAAGAAGGCGTAGATTTTTTAAAAATAATTTTTTGATATACCAAGAAGGCGTAGATTTTTTAAAAATAATTTTTTGATATACCAAGAAGGCGTAGATTTTTTTAATAATTATTTTTTGAATAAAGGTTTTTTTAAAAATAATTTTTTGATATACCAAGAAGTCATAAAAATATATATTTTTTTGAATTTTTATATATTTTTTGAATTTCTTATAAGGCGTAAGTTAATTTTTTTTAAGTTGTTCTATATATTTTGGAATTTTTTCTGGGGTTATAGATTTTATTTATTTTTATTTTATTTTTTTTTATTATTCACCTCCATTTCAATCTTCAATGCTAATTTGGCTTATTTGAAAATTTCCATTTGCCATATTTGGAACAATAATAGCCTTGAAAAAATCCAGATGAATTGTTAACTTAGCCAATACAAGAACCAATAATTGTCTATTTCTTTTTAATTTCTTTTTATTTAATTAATTCCTTAAATTCGGTTTTCCTTGGCTTGTTAATTTAATTTTGTTTAAAAAAAACAACATTTACAATTAATCAAAAAACGATTAATTGCTTGTTTTCACGATTTCACAAAGACATTGAGAAAAATTACAAAAACAACAAAAAAGTATACAATTAAATTTATATAAATTAAATAGTAATATGACATACAATCAAAATAGTACCACAAAAAAAACGACAATCCAATAAAAATTATCTACCACAGCAAAAAAAGAGAAATAGAATGCCTATACCAAAAAAAATCTTCACCCACACAAGATTTGTCTTCTTGTCTAATAAGTATGTGTGTCACTGTGTGACGTTTTAACGTAACTTTTATTTTATTTGCCCCACAGCTAGCAACAAAGTCAAAAAAAAAAAAAAATAAACATAGACATACTCACACACGCACACACTCTGGTAGAGTAAAGGTGACAGCTGTCATTGAGTTGAACATAAACAATTAAATTAAAATCGATTAAATATTGTTTAAGTCCAAACAAATGACAAGAAAAAACAACAAGAATAACAACAACGACGTTAATAGGCATGGAAAATAAAATTGACCAAAAAAAGAACAAAGACCATGGAGAAAAAAATAAACTTCAATGTTAAAAGATGTTCAATTGAATTTTTATGGCAAAACGATTAAAATGACAACAACGACAACAGTTAAGGATCGTACAGCAACAACAACAACAATCGATTGGACTTCCCATAATATAATATTGGAGACAATTGAAATTGACAGAAGAGAGGCCAAAATTGAATCAATAGCAAGCAGCAGCACCACCACCACCACTACTGACACATAATCATCATCAAAGATGATGGTCATCATGATCATTGATTTCATTGATCATCATTGCTCAGGAATAAACTACTGACCCACATTTGTGTTTGACGGTGCGGTGAGAATGTAATTCGGTTCATACACATGTTTTTTTCTGAAAATTCTCATGTGAGAATTATTTTTTGTTGTTTGTTTAATTGAAAACTAAAGACGACACACTTATTTTTTCGGTGATGACCAGTCAGTCGGTTAGCCAGCCAGTTCCCATAGTTGAGAGGGAAATTTCGGAATTTTTGTGTTCATTTCTACGTATGTGAGTGAGTGTATGTGTGTGTCTTTTTTCAATTTTCTTTAATTGGCGCCACTTTTTGTCTGTCGAACACCACTAAAACATATTTATTGTATATCATAAAAATAATTTTTTTTTTGAGAGGTAGATTCATGTTTTTCTGTTAGACAAATTTAATTTACGAGAGGGGTGAGGAGGTTGGAAGAAAGGAGGTATGTGCAGTTTTTTTAATGGATGTACAATTTTTTTTGTTTATAAAAATGCTCCTGATTATATAGCCTTAAAATCAAAATCATTATTATGAACTTCTCTAAGAAATTGTGTCAAAAGTACGAGTGGATTTTTTTTCTTTTTTGTCACTTTGGACTCCCTGTGACCACTTAACACTTATAGCGTACAGCCAAGCCAATCATTCACTCAGCGGGTCATAAAATGTAAATTGACAGCTGTCAGGTCCAACGAATGTCCAGACCAGTCAGTCGGTCATTCATATTAGCATTTTGTTGGTTTTGGGCCAAAATTTACAATCTCATAAGCTAACACTTAGAGTGACAAGAAAATAAATATTATTTTTATGAAAAATATATATTTTTAATAATAAAAAAAATAATTAAGTAACAAAAATAATAATTTTAAAAATTAAATAATATTGGTTGGAATAAAAAAATTAATCAATCATTTATAAAAATATTTTTTTAAATTTTTAATAAGGCTTAGATTTTTTATTTAATTTTAATTTTTTAAAATTTAGATTTTAAAAATTTTTTTAATTTAAATTTTTTTTAAAAACTATTTTTTAAAAATTTATATAGGCGTAGATTTTTTAAAAACTATTTTTTAAAATTTTATATAGGCGTAGATTTTTTTAAAAACTATTTTTTAAAATTTTATATAGGCGTAGATTTTTTTAAAAACTCTTTTTTAAATCTTTATATAGGCGTAGATTTTTTAAAAACTATTTTTTAAAATATTATATAGTCGTAGATTTAAAAAAAAATATGTTTTCAAATTTTATATAGGCGTAGATTTTTAAAAAATATTTTTTCAAATTTTATATAGGCGTAGATTTTTAAAAAAATATTTTTTAAGGCGTAGATTTTTTTAAAAAATATTTTTTCAAATTTTATATAGGCGTAGATTTTTAAAAAAATATTTTTTCAAATTTTATATAGGCGTAGATTTTTAAAAAAAATATTTTTTCAAATTAAAACAAGGCGTGGTATTTTTAAAAAAAATATTTTTTCAAATTTTATATAGGCGTAGATTTTTAAAAAAATATTTTTTCAAATTTTATATAGGCGTAGATTTTTTTAAAAAAAAAAAATATTTTTTCAAATTGTATATAGGCGTAGATTTAAAAAAATTTTTTTTTCAAATTTTATATAGGCGTAGATTTAAAAAAAAAATATTTTTTCAAATTGTATATAGGCGTAGATTTAAAAAATTTTTTTTTTCAAATTTTATATAGGCGTAG